ATGAAATCAATCACAGGCATTAAGGCTCACTTTCCACACCCCCATAACTACTCACTCTGAATGAAGCACAGACACAGAGAATATTACTGACTGCCAGAGAATAAAGCCACTTTGATACACAAGAGTGGAAAGTGATTAGTACAGATTGAAACTCTCAGTCACACAGCAGAAAGTGACATGTCTGGATCAATTACTGAACTCAAAAATAGACATATCAGAAACTGACAAGCGTACATTGATAGCTGCTCTCACACATTAATATTGCACAGACTGACAGGGAGTGAATGATAATGACTCATACATTCTCATAGCTCAAAACAGGACAGGACTTCTACACTTAATTGTAGGGCCATGGGGAGTGTTGCCAAACAAAGACACCGAGGGGTTCATGTGCTTAGTTCCTTGAAACTGGAGTCGCAGGTAGACAAAGTGGTGAAGAAAGCGTTTGACACACTTACCTTCATTGGTCAGTGCGTTGAGAATAGGAGTTGAGATGTTGTCTTGCAGCGGTACGGGAAATTTGTTGAATCCACTTTTACTGCATAAAGTTCTGGTCACCCTGCTGTTGGAAGGAAGTTGTTAAACTGGAGAGGGTACAGAAAATATTTGCAATGACGTTGCCAGGTCTAGACAGTGTGAACTGTTGGGAGAGGCTGAACAAGCTGGGTTTTTTTTCCTGTGGAGCATTGGAGACTGAGGGGTGAGCTTACAGAGGTTTATAAAATCATGAGGGACATGGATAGGGTGAATAGCCAAGGGCTTTTTCCTCTGGTGGGGGAGCCCAAACCTTAATGGCATTGGTTAACGGTGAGAGGGTCAACATTAAAACGGACCTGAGGGGCATTTCTTTAGTGCAGGGTGTGCATGTGTGGAACCAGCTGCCAGAGGTACTGCTGGTGTCAGGTACAATTAGAACATTTAAACGCTATCTGGATGGGTACATGAACAGGAAGGCTTTAGAGGGATATGTACCAAATGCAGGCAAATGGGGCTAGGTCAGATTGGGATGTCAAAATAGCACAGACAAGTTGAGTCAAAGGGTCTGTTTCTATGCTGTTTCACTCTAAGATGCTATGAATCTATAACTGAATGTGCACATAAATAAAGATGCTGCAAGGACAGGTCAGAGGCTGGGAACCGTGCAGTGAGTAACTGGCCTCTTAACTCCCCAAATCCTGTCCAACATCTAATATGATCCAGTCAGGAATGTGATGGTTTAGCATCAGTTACCTGAATGAGTGCGGCTCCAGAAACACACCAGAAGCAAAATACCATCCAGGAAAAAGCACTTTATTGGCTCCACATCCACATACATCCATTCCCTCAAGCACCAATGCTCAGGAGCAGCAGTGTGTACCTTCCACAAGATGCACAGGTGAAATTCACCAATGCTTCTTAGACAGTGTCTTCCAAACCCACGACCACTTCCATCTAGACGCCACCGTGACACAAGGTGTCATCCAATAGTTACAGGTTGCCTCAGTAAGAATGTCCCATTTCTTTCATCTCTCTGTGTGTTCTTTCGCCATTAAGTTAATATGTATGGGATAAACTTCAGGATGAATGAATATTGCAGTTAACAGCTCAGTTGGATCAGATATTGTGTCATTGAACAGTGGAGCAAATTGAATGGGCCTAAGGTCGATCAGCTTCTTTGATCCCTTGCAGGAACGAAAACCCAGACCTAGGACAAAGACTCAGAGGGCAGGCAGAATTCAGGCAAGTGGCAGTATTTATTCAAGCAGTCACCAGATCATGCAGGGAGAGGGCTACAGACACCTCCTTCCCCCCACCTCGATGATGCAGTTATCCCATTAATCTTTAGCTCAGAAGAGAGGTTGATGACGCTCTGATTTTCGCAGTGGAATACGGTATTTTTATCCATTTTGTGTTTCAATAATCACAAACAATGGGATCACTGTGCCCTTCCCCTTATTTTATACATCCAATCCTGTGCAACACCTTATTGATGATGGACGCTCAAATGGACAGCCGTAGGTTCACCACGATCTCATGATCTTTAACAGGCAATGTAATCACCTGGCCTTGGGATCTTTCCATGCATTCTATCAATTCGTTTTCCAAAGTTACCGGCTGTGCACCTTCGGTCATGTCCCAGACTACTTATCTCTAAGGCCTGCTTGAATTCTGTTGTTCGTTGTATTCATTTGCTATCTCAATCAAATTCTGTTACTCCTAACATTTTCCCACTGTCTGAATTATAAAAAAAATCCAAAAGACAGTTGATTCTTACTAATTGCTATAAGCTTCATAATATTAAGTCTATTATAAAGTTAGTTATATGTAAAGTTTTTATGTACATCCCTACTGTTAGCACGCTTTAGCTAATGAGTTGTGAGCAATTTGTTTCTTACAAGGTGCGCTAGGCATTCCTTTCATGATACAGGAAACTTCCAGAGACTAATTAATTTTCACATCTATATTTGAATATTCTCCCCCAATGCTTTTAGTGATCTTTGTGTTTTATTATATGTGTATATTTATAATTATGATGAAATCTATCTGAAGAGTCTTTAACTAGAACCTATTTCTTAATATTGTGAATAATTTTCAAAGAAAGAATGATTTGCTGCAAAATGGTGATATCTGCTGTTTTTACAGCTGCATGATGAGTGAAGCTGATGGACTTCTGGGATGTTTTACACCCCTTGTCCTAACTAACTCTGTTCACCTAATGGGACAACATCCTTTCATTAATGAGACTGGAATCAATCACTCATGTAATTTCATGAACTTGTTTGATCGTGTAGATTTTTTTATGAACCATAATCCTA